ATGGCAATTTAATTAGGATTTCTTAGAAGGAATCTATATGATTTTAAGGTAATGATTCTGTGTAACCAATTTTTTTCTAGAACTGTAGAACACTTACCAATATCTATAAATATTTTCCCACCATTGTTGACTTTATTGTTGTAGCATACATGATAATTCTGTATTTATATCACTCATGAATAAACACATATCACCAGTTAAAGTACTGCCATATAATATTTAAGTCTATGGTAAGTTTCCATTAGAAGCTGTCTTGTAGCTGCTCCAGTTTATCTTTTCCCAGTAGTAGGACCAGAGAGAGATGTGGTGTGGCAGGCTCCTGGGCTCTTTTCTAATTGCTGTAGATTATTTTTTAAATGAAATAAAAATGAAATAAAAACCTGGTGTTACATGGTTTCTTTATTTAGGCTCGATTTTACTCTCCAGCCACCATATTTATCGATGAGATAGATTCCATTTGTAGTCGCAGAGGGACTTCTGAAGAGCACGAAGCAAGCAGAAGGGTGAAAGCCGAGCTGCTGGTTCAAATGGATGGTATGCATGTGTCTGTGCATTGACTAAGCTCTACTCCTAGGGCTAAGCGACACAGCTCCTGCCAGCTAGAGAGGGCTGGCAAGTATGTCCTGGAGATCGACAGTATACTAGGGACATAGACTGTGGGGACATGCCAGAAATAATGGCTGTTCACAGAGCACTCATGGGCATATGCTCAGATTTCTTATGTTCAGCAATGAAACTGAAATAAATGCAAATAAATTTGCCTTAGGGATATGTATGTTTTTGAAAAATTTTAGAAATTGGTATGTAGTTAAGCTGAGCTGGTCTTTTGAATAAATCTATTTTGAGTCCTATTTTTTTGCATATTAAAACTTACTTTTCTTGGGCCACAAATTCATATATGTACCATTTAGCTTTAGAAGTCCTAGGAAGCTTAACAATTACACTACTTTGCAATTTAGTGCTAAATATGTGATGATCTTTTAAGTAGTTGAGCTTTATTTTCTATACTCTGACTTCCTGTCTTTTTACATTCTCCTCTCCCTTTTTTTTAGGTGTTGGAGGTGCTTCTGAAAATGATGACCCTTCTAAAATGGTTATGGTTCTGGCAGCTACTAATTTTCCCTGGGATATTGATGAGGCATTAAGACGACGTCTTGAAAAAAGAATCTATATTCCATTACCATCAGGTTATCTGCATTTGAATCTTGTCTGAAAGCTCATGTTAAGTCTTAGGTAGTTTTGCTTAGAGATTTTAAAGTTTGGTAGTAATTAATTTTCCTTTAAAGAGACAGATGTAGGATGTCTTTCCTTATATTAACTGATTTGGCTATATCTAGAACCTGAAAGCCTTGGTAACAGAAATTTTTTTTTTTTTAAGATTATTTATTTGAGACAGAGAGAGTGAGTGCACAAGCAGGGGGAGAGGGAGAGGGAGAAGCAGACTCCCCGCCAAGCAGGGATCCTGACGCGGGGCTTGATGCCAGGACCCTGAGACCATGACCCAAGCTGAAGGCAGACACTCAGCTGACTGAGTCACCTGGTACCAGGAAATTTTAAAGTTAGAAGGGCTCTTAAATTTTTAAGCAAATGAGCTCTAAGAATTGGAAAACAACTTCTCATACAAAGTAGACTTGAGAAAAAAATAACGGTATGTTTATGTTGAAGGCTTACATTTTTAAATTTGTTTCCATCATTAGCAAAAGGCAGGGAGGAGCTGTTACGAATAAGTCTACGTGAACTGGAATTGGCTGATGATGTTGACCTTGCAAGCATAGCAGAAAATATGGAAGGTTATTCAGGTGCGGACATTACCAATGTGTGCAGGTATGAATTATTTTGAAAGCATAGGGTTTTGTGGGTATAAACTTCTGTTACGAAGTTTTTGTGCTGAATTAATAAGATGGGTGAAGAATAAAGACCCACATTAGAATCTCTAGTCAGCAACACGAGCTTTGGTATGAAGTTTATGTGGTAAGGTGCTGGTAAGACCTTGGGTATCTTGCATGTCACTGAACAGTCTGCAGTGCATTTGAAAGCTACAAGTTCAAGAAGCTCATGTTAGAACAATTGGTATAATACAGAAAATCAGTAATTGTCTTGGATTAAAAAAATGCTGGGTCTACTTATTCAGTATACTTTTTATTAAGAAATGTGAAATGGATTGGGCATACTCCAATCTCTTTCAGTACAAGTGTCCTAAATATGATAGAAACAGGAGTAAAAAAGAAAAAAGACAGTCTCTAATCCAGTTGATTCAAGTAGGTTTTGTCCTAAGCTGAGTATTAGTTCATATGTTTATTAGCAAGGTACTCGTTGTGAAGTAAGCATACTACACAGGCTTGTTGTGGGCATCAATGAGAATGTGTGTGAATGGAAAGCAGCTGCAGGTGGCTGTCCCTCTGCATAGATGGTGCCTGTTATTAAAGATGAAATTTGGTAAAAGGAGAGGTCCTTGAGTGTAAAGTTTCTTCTTTAAAAACAAAACAAAAAAACCAAAAAGACAAAACTAATACAAGGGGAAAGCTGAAACATGCTAACTTGATCATTTAGTTTTTCCTACACGTGTAGAAAATAGTTTTTCTCTGGTTCTCTCCTGTCTCTCTGATGTTTAGTCTTTTTTATTGGACACTTACAGTGATTCAATTGCTAGCTTCTTGATTACACCTTTACTTTTTCTTGGGCTCCCTACTCAGTATCAGTTATTTAAATTGATTAATATCCTTAATTCATCATGGAGGATTTAACTGCTAAAAAACAACTCCAAACAGGCCTTGTATTCTGATAAAAGATTCTGTGCAGTACTAAGTATGTGTAGTCGGATAATTACAAAATAACACATACTGAAAAGATTTTCTGTTCACAGGTTTTTATTCAATCGAAATAACACTTTGTGTGTTTTAATTTAAAAACTTAGGGATGCATCCTTGATGGCAATGAGAAGGCGTATTGAAGGTTTGACCCCAGAAGAAATCAGAAATCTTTCAAGAGAAGAAATGCACATGCCTACAACTATGGAGGATTTTGAAATGGCTTTAAAAAAGGTCTCTAAGTCCGTTTCTGCTGCAGACATTGAGAGATATGAGAAGTGGATATTTGAGTTTGGATCATGCTAAATTCTCACATGTAAACTGTGAGAAGCCTGCCTTAAGTGTTTGAGTAATAATTAAATGTAGTATTTCATTGCACTGAGTGCTATATTTTTTTTAAACTTTGATAATGGTAAGATTTAAAAAAAAAAGTATGATTCTGAATAAAGGCAATTTTTTAAAGCTGAAAGCAAATCTGTTTTGGGTATTACCCGATTTCTCTCTCTGACCACGCTGTGTTGCAGCACAGGTGCGATCACTTAGCTTGGAAGTGTCTTTGTATGCGCCTCTGAGTACAGCATCTTCCCTTCCACGGTCCAGCTGCCATTCCTTCTAGGGAGTAAGACTGGCTCTAGCTCCTTGGGTGCCAGTGGGTAACTGAAAATTCCCGAACATTTTTACACAAGTAGCCAGTTGATGCACAAACCATGCCCTCGTTGTGCCTTCCTGCTTGGGGTTACAGGAGCTTCCCTCCTCTTCCTGGGAGGGCTTTAAATACCCGTCATTTTATAATGCACTTAAAAAGAAAAAAAAATACATATACACACTCCCGCTTGACCTTATTCTGCCTACGTATGAGGCTGCACTGTAGGCAAGCAGATGCTTGTAAGCCAGTGCTGCTCACTCTGCTCTAATGAATGAAACTCATGAACCCATTCACTCACGGATACAAAGCATAATGAAAATAATGGTGCAACTGTTAAGTTAATAAATGAAAGTTAATGGTATAAAATCTTACAGGTAAGATACCCATTTAGGATTTTTTAAAAAATAACTTACTGTATCATCCCAACCATAGAAAAGAGCACCATGCCATGGTCCCAGGTCTCACTGGTAGGGAGGGAAGGCAGGACAAGACTCTGCTGACAGTGAAGGCCACTCTCTGCAATGGGCCACGTAGCCTCCTGCATGGTTCTCCTCACTAGAGCCTCTGTAAACTTAATGGATGCAATAAGACCCTGTCATTATTTGGAGTTAGAACTGGAGATTTCTAGCATCTTGACAGAGGAAGGACATAAAGTGTTACTAGCTGGGCAACTTGAGGATCAAACTGAATCTCATGCTATTATTCTTCTATAATATGGAGAAAGTGTATTTCACAGGCTGTTATTCCTTATTAAAAATAGCTAGGCAAAATGAAACCTCACTCCTCCACTCTACTGTCATCCTTCCCCCATACATACATATCTATTTAGCCTAACTCTACGGGGGTTTTACTTTTTCCCCTCCTCCCTGCTTAAGGTGGTTTTAAAAACCAGTCATTACTTTCTTGAATGATATTTTTTAAATGATGGGTTGCAATAAAAAATTAATAAAATAATAGGAAATATCTACCACTTGGAATAAAGGTATTTTAAGTACTAGATCACATAAAATAGATGTCACTGTGAGTGATGGTTAAAAAAAAGACCAAACACTGTTGAAGGGTAAATAGCACTAAGAACCGCGAGAACAAGGGCACGGTCTAATTCCAGGACACTGATGGATGGACTCCTTAACTGATCTGAGCCCTGGTTTCAGCCAGTGTATGTGAAAGGAGCTCTTACATAGAAGCAGTTCTCGCCTGGGAAATGTTTTCATACCAAAACTCTATACTGTTTCCTCAAAAAAAAGTTTATTTTAGAGTGAAAACATGTCACTACTATTTTTAAATCCTGGTGCATTCAGGTAAGTAGTCTTGGTACAGGATACAATCAAATCATGATAAACTTCAGTGATTTTATACTGAGTCACATAATATAAAGGCACATTTTACTGAATAAAAAAATATGTTAAATTCTTGAGCTTTTAAATTAGAATTTCATAAAGTGCTTTTCATAAAGTCTCATATATTATAGTAATTAAGTGGATAGAATTTCCCTTACAAAGGCACCTTGAAAAGTACTGGCACATGGCATTTTGTCCTGCCCTTTTTTTTTTTTTTTGGAAGTTTCTTCACGTCTTCTACTTCATTTAAATTTCCCTTAATTCATCATCTGAATAGCCAGCCCTGTTCTAGAGTAAGGTGAACTTTAACCTGTCACTTAAAGGTCAAGTTTTAGGCAGTTTTAGGAGTTCAGCAATTTCCCTAGTGTATAAACATATTCTTAGCGATTTAAAGAAAATTCTATTCAAGTGGCAAATTTAGAGCCAAAAGACTAATTCAGAGTCCATGATTTGAGATGGTGTTTCAAACACATGCTTTATCTTCAAGGTTTTGTGCTCTTTTCTCAGGATTATCCGGAAATAAGTTGATAGCTGTGACAGGTATAACACTTACTTTATCCAATTGAAGAATTCCTCTGAAATATAAAAATAGAAATTAAATATTTCCTCTGTCTCTACAGTTTGATAGTATGACAAGGCTACCTCAAGGATCTTTAGGCAGTATTTTCCCTTTTGTTACTTAAGTATCTGACCAAGGAGGAGGTCTCTGGATTGGAGCCAAGACCTGTTTTGGAAGATCAGTCTCATCCCAATCAAGATGTCAACAGAAGTTCGTTGTTTATAGAACTGACCAAGCTGATTCTAAAAGTTCACAAGGGAGTATAGCAAGAGCAGCTGCAACATTTTTTATTTATTTTTATTTTTTATTTATGTATTTTTTAAAAGATTTTATTTATTTGACAGAGACAGAGGTAGCGAGAGCAGGAACACAAGCAGGGGGAGTGGGAGAGGGAGAAGCAGGCTTCTCGTGGAGCAGGGAGCCCGATGCGGGGCTTGATCCCAGGACCCCTGGGACCATGACCTGAGCCGAAGGCAGACGCTCAACGACTGAGCCACCCAGGGGCCCCAAGAATAGCTGTAACATTTTTTAAAAAGAACAATGGGGAGAAGAGACAGTTGCCTGGTTTTCTTAAAGCAGTACAGTAATTAAAACCATGCTACTGGGGCGCCTGGGTGGCTCAGTTGGTTGGGCGACTGCCTTCGGCTCAGGTCATGATTCTGGAGTCACAGGATCGAGTCCCGCATCGGGCTCCCTGCTCAGCGGGGAGTCTGCTTCTCCCTCTGGCCCTCCCCCCCCTCATGTGCTCTCTCTTTCTCTCTCATTCTCGCTCTCTCAAATAAATAAATAAAATCTTAAAAAAAAAAAACATGCTACTGGCACAGCACTAGACAGCAGTGAAGAAGAGTCCAGAAATAACACGAATGTATGTGGGAATTTCATTTATAATAAGGTAATGTTCCGATTCAGGGAAATGAAGAGGTATTTTAACTTAATTGCTCTCCATATTTCTGTACTGATGAAATCTTTTACTACCAGAAACTATCCTTAGTACAACTGCCATTGATAAAAGTATACCGCAAATCTGGTTTTTAATTTTACACTGCGTCTCTTCCCAAAGAGAAGCCCGTAACAAAACATTTGGTAAAACTATTAAAAAAAGTGGTTTCCTAGGCAGATTTACAGAATAAAGTTCAAAAAAGGTCCTGAGCTTCCTGGAAGTCAAAGGAAAAAGGAAGAAACTATTAAGTTCCAGAATTTTCATTTTCAGAAAGAAATGGTAAAATGGGAACTCTTCAGGGGAAACCAAACTAAAAGGTGGGAGGGATACTAACATTTCTTTACTCCGCAGGCTCTCTGCTTGCATGATGGCCTTTTAACAAACCCTTTAAGGGAGGAATTAGTTCAATGTTACACATGAAGAAATGGGAGTTTCAAAGACCTTACGACAAGCAAGTGGAAAAGTGAATGTTTGAATTGGGTCTTTTTTCCTATAAATCCTATGGCTTTTCCAACATAATACAATATAATTTAAGCCAAAAACTGTGGCTCACTGTGTGAGATTTACTTCTATCAAGACTACTAAAATGACTATTTAACTTCTTTTTTTTTTCTTCTAAGTAAACTCTACTGCCAACCTGGTGCTCCCACTAATGATCCCAAGATCATGAGCTGCATGTTCCACCAAGTGAGTTGACCAGGTGCCCCCGACTGTTTAACTTGTAAAAATGCTAAGAATAAATTCACTTTTACATTTATAAAATAATTTCTTATGGTTAAAAAAATCAAGGGGCGCCTGGGTGGTTCAGATGGTTAAGCGTCTGCCTTTGGCTCAGGTCATGATGTCTCAGGGTCCTGGGATCAAGTCCTGTATCGGGCTCCCTGCTCAGCGGGGAGTCTGCTCCTCTCTCTCCCTCTGCCCCTCCCCCGGCTCTGCTCTCTCTTGCTCTCTCTCTCTAAATAAAATCTTAAAAAACAAACAAACACTAATGTTGGGGCAACCCTCTCAGTCCCCTCCCTCCTCGGGAGCTCTGTACCATCACTTGGCTATCACTCAACAAACCTTGCCTTTTTTTAAAAAATAAAAACACTAATGCTGTTTCAAAAACAATACTTACTTGTATTCACAAACTGGGAAGAGCACCTTTAAGATGGTTATTACCATAGCTGCTCCTATAATTCCAACCACCATGACGTTCAGAAACATAAAGAATACTGGAAAAACACTGCTCCAGAACCTACACAGATCTTTTCTGAATTTTTCCATCCATTGACACATCACCTGAAAAAGGAGTTTTGATTAGACAAGCCAAGTGTCATTTGATCTCTAAGAGACTTTAAAAATTATGTTCTAGTTTTGGGTGATGATAAAATTCTGTATCTTGACTGTGATGCTGGTTACATGGGTGCTTACATTTACCAATAACTGTACATTTTAAATGGGTGCATTTTATTTTAAAATGTACCTTGATAAAGTTATTTACAGTTTCAAAAATTATGTTCTAATAATACAGGCATAGGAATGTTGCTTTGTTATCCTTTACAATTATTTATACTGTTGTCTATAAATTAAGTGAATGTTATTGCTAAACGGTAAGAGGTTCGGCTAGTCTACGCAAAACAGACCAAAGGCAACCATGGGTTTCTAATAGCTGGAGGGCAACAGCAGAAGAGAAAGACAAACGTCTGTTTGTGGCTTTTGGCCCAGATGGGGAATTCACTGTGCACAAAACATGCTGTTTACTTAGAGAGTCAGAGGAGACACTAAGGCGCACAGATGGCGTGGGAGGCCTTGCTCTGAGGGAGGCAGGTAGGCAGGGTGAGGGTGCTGGCGTTCAGGCAGCAAAAAGTGACCAGAGTTTCTCCAGCAACCCCAAATAAGCAATCCCAGCCTTCAGTGGGAACTTAAAAGAAGTCTCTGGAATCCTTTGGGACTAACCACAGACCTTGCTCACTTAAATAGAAATTATTTCAAGTAAGAGGCCTAGCTAATACATACAGAGGTATCAAGATACTCAGTCTGAACCCCGAATGTATTTCCAGGCAGCCATATCATGCTCTTAGTAATACAGGAATACTTAATAGGTGGAAATACACACTTACGTTTGCACCCAGTTTATTTAATCCCAGTAACAACTGCATGATTTTACGATTAAAGCGGATGCCCCATTGTACAGATAAAGAAACTGAGGTTAGAGAGACTAAGAATTTGTCCGAGATCACACAACTAGTACGTGGCAGAACCAGAATTCAAACCCACGCGGTCCGACGTACACCCTTCACCACGGTGCGCTTGGTCACTGCGAAGATCCCGAGCGCACCGTGTGTGTACGCATGCGCGCGAGGTACAGGTCACAGAAGCAATAAACGGGAATATGGGAATGACTCTGGAACTGAAAAGCCCCCCACAAAATGAAATCCAATGACTTGATAATCATTATCTAACTGTATTATTACACGAAACTTGAAAATGGGAAAACCTGAAAACCTCACGCTGAAACAGCAATGAGTCCACTATTAACGATGTTTCACACTCCCAATCCTCATGGTTTCCACCTCATCTGGAATGCTATTTTCTTCCACAAATGTTTGTAATATAAAGATAATCCCAAATACCTGATTTACCTTATATGAAGATGGAGGCTCTGCTCTGAGAGGAGTCTCAGGAAGTTTGCCAGGTAAAGCGTCTTCATCTACGGTAGTTTCCACATTCCTGAGAAGATACTGGCTGGTGGTCTGCAATGAGCTGACACTTTCTACTGAGAAGTAAGAGCCACGTTACCAAAACGCTAGGTACATGCTGGTGTCTCTCTTACTAGTTCTAATATTACTATGCCAAACACAGGTAGGATACTAAGACTATATTTTGCCATAGGAGAAAAAAAATAACATTTGATTGTTCATGTTTAAATGCCAGAAAGGAGCCATAAACTCAGTTATAGGAAGCTATACCAGTTATGATTCTATCATGCAGAAAGCAGAAAGTCAAATTTTCAAAAAGTTCCATGTTTCAATGGAAAAAAATGAATACTTCTTTCTCTAAATGAACCTAAACAATATTCTTATTGTGTATTTGGTGACGATTGCCCAGAGTAAGGGTAGCTATTTACCACAAAATGTCACCAAGCAGTCATCACTGGTCACTTTTTGTTTTGATCACTTTCTATTAAGACTCAAGATAGGGAGGCGCCTGGGTGGCTCAGATGGTTAAGTGTCTGCCTTCAGCTCAGGTCATGATCCTGGGGTCCTGGGATCGAGTCCCGCATCAGGCTCCCTGCTCAGCAGGGAGACTGCTTCTCCCTCTGCTTCTCTCTCTCTCTCCCCCCCTCTGTCTTTCATGAATAAATAAATAAAATCTTAAAAAAAAAAAAGACTCAAGATAGGTTCCGGAAGTTCTTAAATGGACATATAAAGTAACAGAGGTGTTATAAAGCATTTCTGAAAGAAGCCTACTTCCAAACACATTAACTACAGTTAGGAAGCTATCCACTAAAGAAATAATTTCCTTAATACTTTAAGTGACAGTCTTTCAAAGTACCTTTTTTGGAGAGGTTGGGAAGGGTAAATAAAATGTCACTGTCTCGGGAAATAGAATACAGCATGCTTTCCTCCAAAGGCAGGGTATAGTTTGAATGTCTGAGTATTCCCTGGTTCTTAACTAAAATGTCAATTTCAGTAACATCCTTTTGTTGAGCCTATGAAAGAAAAACAATTATTCTTTATTTTAAATAATGGCACAACCCCGTAAGAATCTAAAGTAACTTTTCCTCCTTGTTCTCTTTAACTAAAAAACTTACCCGATTCACAATCACTCTGTATTCCCCACACTTTGAGGCATTTAATTAGCAGCTTTAATCTGAGTGTTGTAGCATTCAGTGTTATAAGCTTGCTCTCCATCCCACTTTATTCCCTTCACTCACTCGCTCTATTTACTAATGTTTATATTTTAAAGTGATATAAACATGTATAAATATAATCAGTTTTTTTTTTAAATTAAGAATTCAAATGCTAAACAAATGTTAAAACAAGTAAAAAAATTCTAAATGATTGTATACAGGCAACATAAGGGTACCATTTTTCCTTATCAAGTCAGAAATAAATAACATAATAATACAACACATGCATAATACCCAGCATAAATCTTTAGAGTTTAATTCCCAACTAATAATCATATTATCTTACCTGTTTTCCATCAATCTCTACTACCTCTTCTTGAATGACAATTAGTTGCAAACTGGAACCAGATGTCATAGGCCACTCATGAACTAAAATCCTTACACTGACAATTCCAAAATATTCTTTTTCCTCCACATTTTCCAGATTTTCACTCTTCACTATAAAAAAAAGTAGTGACAGCTTTGGACAAAACAAATGCCACCAAATCTATTACTGAATTTGATTATTTTGATGACATTTACATGGAACAAGACAGTTGTGTTAACAATTTCTTTGCCTTTCTTAATCTCCGACTTCACTGAGGTTACAGAATTTATGAAAATAAAGACAACTTGACAAATCTTCACAATGTTTACGGTCATTTGAAAAGGGAAAAATGCTTGATGGTCTTTAGACTACCACACTAGCAACATCATTCCTATTCTTTTAGATACTTTGTCAAGGAGGAACGAACAAGGGCGCCTGGGTGGCTCAGTTGGTTAAGCGACTGCCTTCGGCTCGGGTCATGATCCTGGAGTCCCAGGATCGAGTCCCGCATCGGGCTTCCTGCTCAGCAGGGAGTCTGCTTCTCCCTCTGACCCTCTTCCCTCTCGTGCTCTCTGTCTCTCTCTCTCAAATAAATAAAATCTTAAAAAAAAAAAGGAGGAACGAACAAGGTCTAACTACCTATGCAGCAGGCCAGAAGACACAGCTAATCCCATGTTACAGTAAAGTTAAGTACATTCATTCTTCCACTCACTCATTCACAACATCCAGGGATACAAGGGGCCCAAGCAGAAAGGACACAGAGTTGTTTTCTCAATCCTTTCTCCAGGAAGTGACCTGTTGCAGTTGGAGAGGGCAGGAATGGGGAAGAGGGTGGGGCAGCCCCGTAATTACTCTCCACCAATGGACGATAGAGCAGGATTAGCTGCTGGCCATACCCCTCTCTAGCGAAGAACCCCCCCCCACCCCACCCCCCACCCCCGGCAAACCCACCAGTGGAGGAGGGGTGTGGCAGCGCAGCTGATCCACAGAGCCAGCGACTACCCTACCGAGGCAGAAAACACTTCGTAAAAAGATAAATCAATATAAATCAATGAAACTAGTGCAAAAGGAACATTTAGTTTCTCAAACGTTAGTCCCTCAAATGTTATCGTATAAGGATCGTTAGCCAAAAAGGAACCCAGATGCATACTCTGCATACAGATCCAGCTGTTTAAATGGATTCTGTGCCTTGATAGGGCTATTCCCCTTTATCTGGAATGTTCTCTACCTCTCACTCGCTCCTCATCCATTTTTAATAAACTCCTACTTAAGTAGTTCTAGCTACTGTACCCCTGTATCGCTGAGTTCATGCCTTTTTTTAAGCACTAACTTTCTTACAGTGTAGCTCTTTGTTTATAAGCCTTCTGGGGGAACTTGCTGCTCTTCTCTCTCTGGTCTGCCTAAGCTCCCTCCCATCCTCTACGGCTCCTAACTGTAAAACTTCCCATCTTCGGTGGTCCAGCTCAGAAGTTTTCCCCGGTTGCCCACTGGTCTTGCTCACAGACCAGTAGGCTCCTTGTCAGCTTATCTGTCTGTCCAAAGGCTGGTGCACTAGGCCACACGAGATTCAATGGATGAGAAAATGCAGTCATATAAAAACATCAAAGTGGTGACTCTTCAGCCCCCAAATCTGGCAGCCCTGCTGTAGAATAAAATAAAATAAAAAACAAAAAAGCCCTTGATATTCTGACTTTCCCAACTGCGGTAGGCAGCTTTCAAAAATGGCTCTCCATGACCCTTGACTCCGGCAATTCATGTCCTTGTGTGATTCCCTCCCACTAAGTATGGGCTGGACCTCGTGACTTATTCCTAACAAACAGAATAAAGTAAAAGTGATGGAAAGTCACTTCTGTGATTAGATTATAAAGGCCGCGCCTTCCGTCTTGTGCGTATTCGCTCCTACCGGCAGTCTCCCTTGTCCTCTCACTGATACAGCCGGCTGCCATGTTGTGAGACGCCCTACAGAGGTCCATGTGGCCAGGGAATGAGGGAGGCCTGCGGTCAACCTCTGGCGAGGAACGGAGGCCTCAGTCCAACAGTTCACAAGAACTAAATCCTGTCAACAACCATGACTGAGGTAGGAAGCAGATCTTCCCCAGCTAAGCCAAGCTCAGGTTCTTGACCTACAGGAGCCATGAGATAATACTATTGTCAGCTACTAAGTTTAGAATTAAACTGTTACATAGCAACAACTAACTAATACACCTACCAGAGAAGAAGTTTTTAAAAGAATTAAGAAGAAGAAGACTTTATGTTGTTGTTGTATTTGTTTTGAAGGTTGTTGTAACTGATAGGATGGGCATTTACTTCAGCTATCAAAGAAACTCAATGCGACAACTGGGATGACCAGCAAGATGACTGTAATACAGTAACACAGAGGGCAGCCAGGTCACAATCCAGGGCAAATTCCTAATGAATATGCCATCAATGGAATTATTACTTAAATCAGTAACAGCACTTCTTTTTCTAGCTATGAACAATTAGCTTGTTGTATACCAACCTTCTCACCGAGAGCCACTAGAAAAGATGTAAAAAAAGAAACACACGCATATACACTCAAAACCCACATCTGTCTAGAGGCAGCAGAGAGCTAAAAAGTCAGCCAGCGCCCTCACAAGGCATTTACTGATTCCCAAGCTGAACAGGTAGAGAAGCTGGAAAGCTCAATAGAAAGTAATGCCTCAGAGGCAGAGAAGCTAAACAGAGCTAAATGGGCAGACTTTGGCAGTCCCACACAGAGGGGCATAAAATAAAGATTATGGCTACAAAGGTATCTAGGACTTGTGACAAGATCCTAGAGAGAAGGGAAGAATAGAAGCAAACATTCTATGCAATCCTCCCCCCGCCCCCCGGGAAACATGTGCCGATTAGTTAAGTCAGGCTGGGCTGAGAAACTGAGCCTATACTTAAGACACTAAGAAGAAGTTAAGCAGAATCTCTGGCAGGCTCATGACAGTGGGGAGTGTGGGGCCCACAAAAGGAGGGGCCCTCATAAACACCCCAAGTTTTCATTTGGGACCTATGATGAGCTACATCCGAGGAATAACAGTTAATAGGAAATAGACTAAGCTTCACAAAGATGAGAATCCAGCCTTCAATCAGCCCAATCCTTGATTTAAAAATTAAGGTATTCTGCCCCTTATTATCATGACTGCCAGGGGTTAAAGTAAAGTAAATCCTCTTTGGAGTAAGATAATATTATCCAGAGACTTTATAACTTTTCATACACAATTTCAAAAATAATATATTGAAGGAGAAGAATCAAAACAAAACAGACCAGAGGGGCTCAAAAAATTAGACGGGGCAGACATGAACTTTAAATTTACTGAAAGTAATAGGTTCAAGAAAAATAGATGATGGGGCACCTGCATGGCTCAGTCAGTTAAGTGTCTGACTTTGGCTCAGCTCATAATCTCAGGGTCCTGGGATCGAGCCCCACGTCAGGCTCCCCACTCAGTAGGGAGTCTGCTTCTCCCTCTGCCCTGTCCCCTGCTCATGCTCTCTCTCAAATAAATAAAATCTAAAAAAAAAAAAAGAAAAAAATAAGGGCGCCTGGGTGATGCAGTCTGTTGGGCATCTGACTCTTGGTTTCGGCTCAGGTGGTGATCTCATGGTCGTGGAACCAAGCACCCCAGTGTTGGGCTCAAGCACAGTGCAGAGTCTGCTTGAGATGCTCTCCCTCTCCCCTCTGCCCCCACCCTGTTCATGCTGTCTCTCTCTAAAGTAAGTAAATAAATCTTAAAAAAAAAAGAAAACAGATGGGGGCGCCTGGGTGGCTCAGTCGTTAAGCATCTGCCTTCGGCTCCGGTCATGATCCCAGAGTCCTGGGATCGAGCCCCGCATCGGGCTCCCTGCTCCGCAGGAAGTCTGCTTCTCCCTCTCCCACTGCCCCTGCTTGTGTTCCCTCTCTTGCTGTGTCTCTCTCTGTCAAACAAATAAATAAAATCTTTAAAAAAAGAAAACAGATGATAAAATGGAGGATTTTACCAGATAAGTATAAGCTATTAAAATCAAAATTAAAAATATAAAATGAAAAAAAATGAAAAAAAAAAAAAAAGAGTTGGGCCAGTATCCAGGGCCTGAGCAGAAGATGGAAAAATAAACAAAAAAGAGGGGCACCTGGGTGGCTGCCTTCAGCGCGGGTCGTGGTCCCGGGGGCCTGGGACCGAGCCCTGCGTCGGGCCCCCTGCTCGGCGGGGACCCTGCTTCTCCCTCTGCCGCTCCCCCTGCTTGTGTCCCCTCTCTCGTTGTTTCTCTCGCTATCAAGTAAATAAAGAAAATCTTCCAAAAAAAATTTTTTAAAGAATAAAATGGACATCCTAGAAGTCCAGTCCAGTAAATGAAATTAATTCAATGAGGCAGAGTTGATGAATTCGTGTGTGGGGAGGATGAAAAGAAAAAAAGGATAGAAAAAAACCAGAAAACAGTGCAAAATCTCTGCGGAACCCTGTGAAAGGGTCAAACGTACGTGCAAACGAAAAGCAAGGAGGGAAGAAGAAAGGGGACTTGTGGTACTTTTTTTTTTTTTAAGATTTATTTATTTATTTATTTGAGAGAGAGAATGAGATGGAGAGAGAGCACGAGAGGGGAGAGGGTCGGAGGGAGAAGCAGACCCCCCGCCGAGCAGGGAGCCCGACGCGGGACCCGATCCCGGGACTCCAGGATCATGACCCGGGCCGAAGGCAGTCGCCCAACCGACTGAGCCACCCAGGCGCCCTTGTGGCACTTTTTGAAAAGACAATGGTCAAAAATTTTTCCAGGAAGGCATCAGGTCACAGATTAAAGAACCCTACACCTGGGCATATCACAGTGAAACTACTGAAAACCAAAAACTAAGAAAAAAATATTAAGGGCAACCAGAAAAACAAAACAAAACAAAACCCAACCTTATTATCCTCCCTGGAGCAACGAGCCTGACACTGAGTCGCAACAGAAACCACAGAAGTGAGAAGATCATGAAATTGGTCTTTAAAATGCTAACCTGGGAAGTACTAACCTGTTTCCCTATCCAATAAAAAGATCCTCCTAAAACGAAGGCAAAGTAAAGATTTTTCAAACAAAAGCTCACATACTTCACAGCTAACAAATCTGCACTAAGGGGATTTCTTGATCCCCTACTAAGGGGAATTTTTTAGGCAGGGGGAAGATGAGCCCCAAGGGGAACAAGAAACACACACATGTTCATTCAGTGTCTATGTGCCTCTAGACAGATGTGGGTTTTGAGTGTATATGTGTGTGGTTCTTGTTCCCCTTCATTTATTTCTTCATTCAGAAAGGAATGAAGAGCGATGGAAAGGGCAACCATTAAGGTAAACATAAATGAGTACTGGACTACACAATATAGTAAGAACAATTGTGTTGCATAATTATGGGCATGATACGTAATATTAGAATTTAAGAACACAGTTAAAATGTATGACAGTAACAACACAAAAGCAGAAAGGGAATAAATGGAGTTTCCATGTTCTGAGGTTCTTGCTTTGTTTGGGAAGTGATAAATATACTAGTTTATTGATCTCAGAGGTAACCATTAAAAGAATAGGAAAAGGGGCGCCTGGGTGGCTCAGTCGTTAAGCATCTGCCTTCAGCTCGGGTCATGATCCCAGGGTCCTGGGATCTAGCCCCACATGAGGCTCTCTGCTCAGCGGGAAGCCTGCTTCTCCCTCTCCCACTCCCCCTGCTTGTGTTCCCTCTCTTGCTGTCTCTCTCTCTGTCAAATAAATAAATAAAA